AATTCCTGCTCCAACTCATTCTCTCCATCTCTCTATATCAGTTAAGCTTACTTATAAGAATGTTCTATACACTGGTATATATACTACAACACAATCAGATACTTATACATATATATATATATATATATATAAAACAAAATGATATATGATTATATGGTAGACATGGTTATTATATCATGTCCTTACATTTTTCAAACACCTCGGGTCCACTACTAATGACCCATTCTCTAATTGCGCACACCTTCCAGTACGAGCAGTGCTCTTGGGGATACCGGTGATAAGTGCACGTTATTGGGGTGGAACACGTCAGTCTCCGATATGCTGGACAGCCGTAATCCTCTACATCCACGCAGGGTACATTTAGGTAGTACTTCAACAGCTGCGCCTTTCCTTTCGTATACACCTTCACATATTCTTGTCTTACCTCCTGGCGCACCCGTAGGAAGTCCGTCGTGGAGTGATCCCCGTCGTCCCACCGTAGTCCATGTAGGTACATGGTGCACCAGAGGACGAGGCAACGATCGGAATCGCTAAGGCGATGTTTGGGAAAAGGAGGCCGGAAGCAATAAACGTCAGTCCACCCTGTTTTACAATCCATTATAGCCGTTTCTTTGATAATATATAATCCATTGACCTTGAAACCTTCAACTTCCACGATTGCTGCCTTGGGCCATGGCATGGTTTTCCTACAATTATTTTACACTTAGTCATTAAACATACATAGATAGTTTGCATAACACGCATAACACACGTATTTGCTTGTTCTTTCGTTCACCATAGTCACACACTCACTCGGTGTTTCTGTCCAATCCTTGTTCGTAATTGTTCACTAGGTCACTTCAGTTTATTCGTACTTGTTCAGTTCACTAAGTCACAACACTTCACTCATACGTTGTTCGTTTCACTTTTCTGATCACAGTCTGTTATTTTTGTCTCTTCTCGAACTTTCTATGCCTAATAATTTTGTCTATAATTTTGACTAATTTTGCTGTTAGAATTTTACTACCCTTGTCAATTGGTTTATCTAGATAATTTTGTAATTATCTAAATAATCAAGCTAATACCTGGTTAGATGGGGCCTACTCATTCAGTTCTACTATTTCAGTAGCTTCTGAATAATCAGATAATTCATGATTGATTGTTCTTGATCTTTTCTTCTTTCTATTTTTACATAGCCCATCTAAGGTCATTAACTTTAATAAAGCCAATTTATCTCTTTTGATATACAACGTTATGCTTATTAGTAATACTATTAAACATAAGGTTATTATCACTGAGTTAGACAATCTCCATTTATCTAACTTTTGTTCACCAGCTGTAGTACGTAATTGTTCTACATGCTGTTGAAATTCCTTAAGACTTAATCCTGACTTTCTAAGGGGTAAATGTTTAGTATTTTCTAATATATCCTTTTGTCCTTTAGTATCCGTCTCTATATCTATACTCTGAATTAACTGTGATTCTTTCTTAGTTAGTAGTTCTTGTAGTTCTGGTATTTTTATGGTTAACTTAGTTTCTATGTATCTAGTTTCACTTCTAAAATTTGACGGCAAGGTTATACCTTGACTATACGCTGAACAATTTCTAGCTAGCTTTAAATAACCACTATTGTTTAACCTAACTACCCTAGTGTAATAATTAAACTGATGTACGTTCGGTTTTGGACAAACTACTGATAAAGTTAGTTCGTCTTTAATGTTAAATAACCAAATTCCTGGGGTTCTAGTTTTATAAAAGTAGAATGGTTTAGGAATGATTATTCTTTTCTCACATAGTTCTGATATCTTATTCTTAATTTCTGTGAATATCACGTAGTTACAAGTTACTATAGGTGTTGAATACATACCTGAGTTAGGATCACAAACTCTGATAGGTCCGTCTATACAATTTAACATATCTTCCTCAGTCATTTCAACATATTTATGTTGATCACTTGAAATAGCAATATATGGTTTATCATTTTCAATAGCTAGAGCTAATGAATGGTTTATTGCTATCGGTAAAGACACGATCTTATATAGTTTAAACATCCTATCAGTCGCTTTCAATGGTATCTCTATAAACATTTGTAGAGTATCCTTAACTGCAGCTGTTTTTACATCAGCCCATG